TACATTTCCTGGGGCGCCTGTCAGGTATATGTCTAACGCTGGTCAAGGTTTGGAAGATGCGTGGAGGGGGGGGGGGGGGCGGCAGTTGTTGCCAAAATCTCTATCACGACCTGTGAGATTTAAATGCTTATGTCTGTCATATCAGCGATATGTCGTTGCTAAGATGTCAATCGTGTCTTTGATGAGCTGCTCATTATCGTTATGAACTGAATAGGATGGGACGGTCTGATGGCAAATTGTCTGTCTGATCCCGTCTGCCATTGCATGTGGGATTACAAACTTTTCAATACTCTTTCTAAATCGTGTTTCACAAAAAGAAAAAGATGAATTATTTGATAATGCTTTTTCTTTTAAATAGCCAAGTGATGCTTATCAATTTTTTACAACTGGTCAGCAAAAAATTCAACAAGGTTTACTTCGTGAAGGTTTTGAATTGATATCAGAAGCACATAATTTATTAAATAATGTTTACGGACCTATGCATCCAGAAATTAGTATGTGTTTAAGATTATTAGCAAGATTAAATTATATAATGGGTGACTATCAAGAAGCACTTTATACACAACATAAAGCTGTTATGATGTCCGAACGTGTATTAGGTATTGATCATCCTCAAACAGCAACTGAATATGTAAGTTTAAAAAAAAATTGAAGTTTTTTGTTTCTATTTATTTAAATTAGATTCATATGGCACTTTATTCATTTGCAAATGGTCATTCAATAAATGCTTCGAAATTACTTTGTCGTGCTAGATATATTATTTTAGCATGCTGTGGAGAAAATCATCCACAAATTAGTTTAATTGATGTAAGAAGAATTTTTTTTTCTTAATAGTTAAGCATGTTTCTAGAATTTTTTAATTATTATTATAGAGCAACCTTGGATTAATCTTACAATCATACGGAGATTATGAAAATGCTTTAAAATTTATGGAAAAATCACTTGAATTAAATAAAAAGTAAGTTTTAAGTATTGTAATAGAAAAAACAAATCAGTTAATACAGTCGACCTTGTGTTTTTTTTTTTTTGAGTTTTTTTCCGTGAATATCATGCCAAAAGTAAAATATCTACTAAAACTATCATAGTTCCAGAATGATAACTGATGAGGATAAATCCTTCTAGGCTTTTTGTATTCGCAATAGACTCTGCCTATTAAGGAGTGTCTCATCTCAAACACACAATACTAAGTGTGTACATTCTTTCATTTGAAGACCTACATCTTCGAAAAAAATATTAAAATATTGATTTCACGTCACACAAATCATATTAATAATGCTCCATATTAGTTGTCAGGCCTATTTTTACTAAGTTACTTTCTTTTATGTGATTGGTTGAAACGGAAAGTCATATTAGTAGTATAAGTGTGGAGAAAAAGAAACCTGTCAATCTGATTGAAAACTATAGATTATGTTCTAAAGAGAAAGAAATGAAAAATTACACATATTTTTCTTTGTCAATTTTTCTATTGGTTTATTCTACTTTGTTATTGTTTTACTAATATATATGAAAGTCAATCTTTTCTTATTTTCTTTCATTATGTTAAGATTAAAAAGAAAAAGACGATCTTTATTAATAATATTTTCAAAATCAAAAAAATAACTAATTATAAAATCTCGCTTTATTTTATTAGATTTTATGGCTTAAAAAGTCTTAAAGTAGCATTATCTCATCATCTTTGTGCACGTATTCAATCATGTCGTGGTGATTTTCGATCAGCATTAAACAGTGAACGTGAAGCTTATCAAATATATAAATTACAGGTAAGAAAAAAACAAAATAATTCTTGAAATTGATCAATTTTTTATATATTTAGCTTGGCGATGAACATGAACGAACACGTGAAAGTGCTCAAGTACTTCAACATTTAACTGAACAAGCTGTTGTCTTACAAAAACGTATGAATGATGTTGTTAAAGGACAATTACTTATGATACCAAGCATAACAGTATATTATTTTTTATTTGATTTTTAAGAAAACTAAAAGAAAAAAAAAACTGAATTATATTTAGATTCAACAACCAAGTTTTCAAAATGTTTTGGAAATGCTTAATGTTGTTAATGGTATTTTATTTATACAAATTCGTGAAAAAGATCTTGATTTATTACGTGAAGAATTAGCTAAACAATCAATTGATGATCAACAACAACAAGCATCAATATCTTCGATTAAAACAATATCAGAAACAGCTGAACAAGCAGCAGCTTTAATGGATAATGAAGTTGATTGAAAGAAGAAAAAAAAAACATTACAGGCAATGAAATTCTTTTTATGCCTGATAGTCTGATACTCTTTTGTAGTTTGTAGGCCAATTTTCTTTTTATATTTGTATGTGTTTGTATTTGTTTGTTTGTTGCGAACTTCTTGTTGTCTAGTCTTTTCTGTTTTTCTTTTTCGTTTTTTTGTTTGGTAGACCCAGGTATTTAGTTTAACACATTATTCTGTTGACAGTGTGATCATGTTTTTTTTTTTTCATTGAGTTACATTAGGAAAATGTGGTATTTCATAGCTGATTCTTCTCTATATCTGACTTTGTTGTTTGTTTTGTTTCCGAAAAGATTCTGCCGTTTATTGATCGATTCGTTTAGATCTATGAAAGGTGTTTTTGTTTATTTTTTTTAGTAAATATATATGCAAGAAAAAGAAAAACATTTTTTTCCTAATTTGAATTAGATACATAGATATTTTCCTTTTTGCAGAAAAAACAAAAAAAAAGTAATTAATTGATGGCTTTAAGTTCAGCATTTTCGATTCTTTGGTTGGATGCTCATATTGGTTTACATGATCAATGTAAGGATTTAAAAAAATGATTTCAAGTAGACCTTGCACCAGCCGGAGCAGAATTTCCGATTCCAATAGATCCTATTGATCAAATGATATGCTGTATAAGAGAATTAGCTGCACCTGTTTCATTTGCGTCGTCAATAGAAGATTCATTAGAACTTATTGATACACATTTATATAATAATAAAAAAATTATATTAATTACATCAGCTACCTTAGGAAAAAAAATTATTCCTGAAATTCAACAACGAAATTTTCTTATTCATTCTTATTATATATTTTGTGGCTGTATACAAAATCATATTGATTGGGTTTTAGAATATATTGAAGAAGGTCTTGAAATACAAATGTTTGATTTTGAAATTGATCTTTTGATACGTTTATCAAGAGACTTAAGTAATGAATTAATTAAACAAGGCAGACAAATATTGGATAATAATCCAAAATCAGCGTTGAATTATTTTGAATGTGCTCGTACATTAGCTGAAAAAGCTGTTGAACGTGATACACCCAAAGATAAAAATGATCTGCATCGTCCGTCAACTAAACATCGAGATATATTAGATGGTGAAAACGGTCTTATTGCAAAAGCCACACGAGCATGTAATAATATTACTTCATAATATTTTTGTTTTTATTATTTTTATTACCGTACATAAATTGTGCGGATCTGAATGACATCTATTTTATATCTGTATTAATATAAATAATTTAACAGACAAATATCTTCAGTTCTTCGATATTTAAATAAAATTATCTATTCTAGATTTTTTTCTTACATATTTTCTCAAAACATTCAATAAATATGTAACATTCAATATTGTGATTATTCATAAATAGATCACGCAACAGTTTGATATAGTAAAAGTTTATGCCATATTTGTTGTTTATTCTTTCTTCAAATTTCTTAGAATAGGTCGAACATTTTGTTATATATATTATTGCCAAAAGCTTCAGAAAAAAAAATTAGATAAGCGACTAAAAGTATAAACTTTTCGTGTATTGTTTTTTTGATGTTATAAGAAATATGACCTCTAGTCCGATTAAGAAACATTGATCGAGTAAATTGAGTCCGAAATTCTTCAAAATTATGTTATTAGAAAATCATTGACGATATCAAACGAAATAATAAAGTTAAGAAATATGAGTGACTTCTCATTATCGATCAATCCCAAATTATTAACATATGTATTGTATCACTGTGATTCATTGATTTCAAGCATGGATCTAGAAAAGATGAGGATCAAGACTTTCAGCGATTCAGAGGAATTAAAAGGTCATGTCGATGCTATTATTAATTCAATATCCCCTCATTCAAAAGTAACAATTGTAATGAAAAAGATTGCCATAAAATCTCTGCTGATAGAATCAAACACGCTAAATATTCATCAAAGAGCGAGAATACTGCCTTAGCCATGTTTATGAATTGTATGTACAATACAAGAAGGCATTAGGACTGACGGCAACAAATTCCCTTCAATTCTTCAACATATGAATTAAACAAGTGAAACAATATCTGTACAAGTAATGCGACATAAATTGTAGAAAACAGCTTTTAACTGTCATTCATAATTAAATACTACACTGAAAAGTAAATAATCGATATTGAGACATGTTGTAGTATCTTTGCAGATGACATGTCATTGAAGTTATTCATAATATTTGTTTTATTAGTATCTATGCAATGAAAATCGGATAGACTTGCTAAATTTCATGTTAATAACTTTCATGATAGCTTGATAAATCAGAACTTCTAATTCTAGTACAAGTGAAGATGATATGAAAATTATTGTGCTTTATGTTTTTTTAAAATGACAGTGAAATATATTATTCACTTTAATGAACACTATTGAAGCACCGTCTATGTATTGGAACATAGTAAAGAGAATAATATTACCGATTACCAGGAGTGAATCAGTTATGATAGGGTTAGAAACTGCATTAATTTATTATATTATTGAAATGATCCTATCAGATATGCGTTTAAAGACTATATATCAGATGCAATTAATATTTGAAGCTCAAAAAGAATTATTCAAATGACAATCTTTGTTAAGGTCATTCAATAATTCAGGTCATTGTATTTTTACGCCAATCGATGGCATACCAATAATAAACACTTAAAAATAGATGCGAACGCTGCTAGTTTGTTACTGATCAAATAAAAAAAATGCCAAATCAATAAAGTGTCTTCTTAATTAGAAATCAAAGTTTACAGAAGCCATATATTTATTCAATAGAGAGAAAGAAAAAGGCCAACGGAGAAGAAAAAAAAACAAAAGAAAATAGTTAAATAACATGGTGACAATACTATAGTCATTATTATTGAAAAGTAAGACAGTTTATTAATCAAGCAACTTGTTACTATGGGCTGCAATGAAACCAAAATTCGTCCATCTGTTGCCAATGTTAGTCAACCTAATGATGTTAAACGTAAATCAGAAACATCGAATAAATTGAATGAGCAGTGTTCATTACCTGTAGTTTCAAATGTATCTATCGATCTGTCGCCTAGAGACAACAATGCATTCTCAACAACTGTTTGCCAACAGCGACAAGAGGCTATTGATAATATGACCTATAGGAAAGCCATCGATACATGGCAATTTTCATCAATCGAAGAACTTATTAGTTCTATTCAAGAATTATCTGCTCATGAAAATCAAATTGATCGAGCTTGGATCATTTTCTATTGGATCAGTCAAAATATCAGCTATAACACTGATGCCTTTTTTAGCAACCAAATTGAAGCACAAGATGCTCATACTATATTTCAAAGTGGAAAAGCAGTTTGTGAAGGTTATGCATCATTATATGCTGAATTATGTAATAGAACTGGAATTCAATGTCGTAAAGTAAGTGGCTATGGAAAAGGATTTGGATTTGATGTGCGTCAAACAAGTTTCGATAAAACAAATCATGCATGGAATATTATTACACTTAACAATGGTCATTCATATTTTGTCGAATCAACATGGGGTTCGGGTCATGTTGACCATTCAACACATCAATATAAAAAACAATTAGTTCCTTATTATTTTTTATGCCGACCAGAACATATGATCTATAAACATCTACCTATAGATGATGAATGTCAACTTCTTGCACATCCACTAACAATAAAACAGTATTTCACATTACCTAATACATATCCAGCATTTTTTACATTCGATTTGGATATTATTTCACCTGTTCATTCGGCTAAAGTCGATCTGATCAAAGATGAATCATATGGATTGATACTTATTCGAACATCCAAGAATAATGTCGAATTATCTGGTTCTTTAGAAGATGAAACAGGTAACAAAATTCAAGATGGGCATTTTATTTATTTAGATAAGAAAGATCAAACATTATGGCGATGTCAATTTGCTCCACCAAAACCTGGAAAATACAATATCTTCATTTTTGCCGGAGAAAAAAATAATCAAAATGAATCCTTTTCGGCTGCTGCTGTGCAGTTTGCTTTCGATGTCGATCATCTTCCATCGCCACCTATTTCATATCCTCATATTTGGTCATACTTTTTTAATTATGACATAGAAATCGTCAAACCAATGAATTCTCGTTACATTGATTGGTCATCAAACACCAATATCAACTACTGTGAAATTCAAGTTCGTTCACCTGATGATGTTCGTGTTTCCGCGGCAATAAAAGATAGTTCTGCAGGTACGAACGTCAAAAATGGTACATTAGTCAATTTTGATCATGAAACAAATGTTTGGCAATGTCTTTTTGCTCCATCAACTGCTGGTGTTCTGTTCGAATTAACTCTATTTGCTCAACGTCAGCATGAAAACGAATCCCATTCTGTTGTTCAATTTGTTTTACAACCAATTCCATCTGATGCTCTGAAAGAATTCATGACATTTCCTGAAATTTATCTTCCATTCTATAATACGAGATGTCACCTAATGGAACCACTGAATGGTATTCTTCAAAGTGGTTCTACCATTCATTTTCGCTGTCGAATTCCAGGTGCGCAAGAAGTTAATATAACTGTCGACGATAACTGGATTGAAGGTGATGCATGGAAGCCAGATGAAAATGATGTATTCAATGGTGACATTCAAGTTGGACAAAAAGAAGTTGCTATATATGCCAAGTTTAATGATGAGAACAGTTCATATCAAGGACTTTTGAAATATACTGTATTCTAATATTTAAATAGATAAATGAATAAGTGCTTTAAAAAAAAATATAACAATAAACTGCTGCTAAAACCTTTTTTAAAAATAAATTAAGAGAAAAAAATGCTCTTCAATGAAAGATTGTTAGTGATTGGAAGTTCACTGAAAGTTGTAACAAAGATCATACAACTTGTACTCTTTTATGAAATCATTTTGAGTGAAAGTATTTAATGTAAGAAATGCTTATAATAAACGTTCCTAATTTATTTTAAAAGTAAGAAAGCAGAAATGAAATCTAGCGAATTATTATTGTACTCTAAGAAAAGTATCTTTAGATAAAATTAAATATTTAGAAATAAAACCGCAACAATTTTCTATGCGCTTTTACAGGAAGATTATTCGAAAAAAGTACTTTTAAATTCGATGTGAAAAACTTCATGACAGTCTTCTTCGTTAACTATAAGTCAAACAAAAAGAAAACAACTTGATATATATTTTCTCATTTTTGATACGATTCACCATAAAGTGCTGAAAATATAATTTCAAACCATTTCTATTGAAAGTCAATAATATTTTTGCAAATAGTTGTTGATACTCCAAAATGTTTCATTAGAGTGATATAATATAGAAGTATAACATTTTCTTTGTTTCAAGTATCCTTTAAAATATTACATCTGATGTGAGAAAGTTCGTCTAAAATCGTATGCAAATATTCTGCTTACTCTTTTACTTTCATGTGTGTCTTTTAATAAGATAAGATAGACTGTCGGATAATAAATAATGTATTGTTATAAAAGTCATAAAAGTGGTCATGAAAATAACTTTGACAATTTTATCGACATTTTTTTTTGAGTATTAGTTGTTTGTGTCTTAATAAAAACAAGAATACTGTATCTCATGGGTTGCGTGCTTTGCAAGACAACGACGATTATTCGAGCGGTTGCCGATCCCTTACTTGGACAAAAAATGAATCAAAAAGTTATAGATAGAGAATCATCATCTAAGTCAAACACTTCTATTAGACAGTCACAGATCAAGGAAAAATCAGCCTCGAATGATTCCAAAGAAGAAATAACTGCCACTAGACCAACAACTGCTAATACAACGAAATCAACTGTTCCTATAGAAATCATTTCTCGCATAACATCAAGCCAGTTAAATAAATTAAACACGCATGACGATATAGATGCTAGTTCAACATTGACCGAATTACAAGAGGTAGTAATGCAGAGAAAAGTTGTCAAGGATATCATTGTTGAGTCATTCACATCAGATATACTAGAAGACTTTTATCCTAATGAAACGCCGAGTAAGTCACATTGGTCATATATTCGTTTTGATAACAATGCCAGTTCGTTATCATCGACTAATGTCGAAAAGACGATACTACCTCAAGAAACTTTCGTTAGATTTATATCCACAAGACCAAAACACTCTAATACTCATCAACAACCATCTTTAAATGATGTACCCAGTGATTCCGATGAATCTTATCCATTTTATAAAAGTATTTGTAGTTCAACGTCGTCAAATTCCGAAGGCTTATCAATACAACAAGAAATCGTCGATCAAGAAACATTGATTGATACAGAAACTATTCAAACTCAACAAAAAACTATTGCTAATGAAAAATCGAACAAGCTAGATAAGACGGATTTACATTTCGAAGATAAATCTAGTTCTATATCAAGTGATTCTAAAAAAATGACGATACATAAAGAACTTATGGTTAAATCTGTATCTCCTAATCAAATCCACAGGTCAACTATTCAACAAAAAAGCCTTACTTTAGAAATTTCAAGTGATTTGACTGAAGTCGAGATATAATTTTAGTAGTGATTTTTCTGTTGATGTATCTTCAATGTTCTCTTACACCGCCATAATCAGTCAAAGTTATACTTTTATTGATTGAATTAAAACAATAAAAGAAAAAAAAAAAAGAGTTGTTTAAAAAAATGAAAAGAAAAAAGAATATTTTACGATTAAAAGATACTTGTATCTCTTAGTTGGTTCAATATGAAATGAAAGTACATATACTGACTCTATGTGAGCGTTTATTGTTAACCCTTTACCCCCCAGCGGGTCATATATGACCCATTTGTAGAACGATCACAGAAAATAAAGGAAGCATGGGACTGAAAAGCTTCCAAGACATTATTTGTAGAGAACTTCACAAGCTATAGATTGGTAAAAAAAATATTTTGTTTCGTTGCTCTGCCTTCGAGATATATGACTTACAAAATCTATAATTTTGAAAAAAATGCAAAAATTCGAAAGTTNGACAAAGTTAGCCGTTTATCGGCTGATAGATTATCACGAGTGATAGAAACAAACAAAAAAGATTGAAAATCTTCATCAGATTGATTTGGATAGATGGAAAATTTCTTATAAAAATAAATCACTTCATTCAAAAAGCATTCACTTATTAATTATCATGTTTTCTAAGATCAAACAAGCTTGAATTTTTTCCAGTGCATTAAAAAAAAACAATAAAAAGTTCACCTTTCTACTAAAATAAGACCGTCGAAAACAAGACAATTTCATTGGTTTCTTGTCAATTTTCATGCACGAAATGTATTTCAAAGCTTCCAGAAGACTTCAAGAGACTTCATCAAACTTTATGAGACTTCAGTCGTGAAGTCTCCGCTGTTTCCCCCCTTGAGTCCAATACCCTTTCTCTCAAAAGTAGGTCAATACTGACTTTTTACAACTATCATATTCTGATAGGACAAATAGCAAATATACCCTGTAAGACTTTTGCTCGTTTTCGTTTCAAAGAACCATTCAAATCTTTTTGTATAGAGAACTCGTGTCTATAAGACATTTTTGAAAAAGAACTACATATTCAAAATCAGCATCGAATTCCCAGTAAAATCAAATAAATTTACCTTACAAAAACAATTTTCATTTTTCACTTTAAAAGCTATCCATAACTTGGTTTTTGCATGATTCTGATTGAAAGGATAATATTGCACTCGGCTGAGTACATTTCACACTTCTTGATATGGTAGCTGAAGGTAGCTCTTTATCAGTATCCTACGATAAAATTGATTTTTCTCAATCGGAATTCGGAATGAGCATGAAATTCTATATGTGGCGGTGCATGACTTAATAGTACTAAAAAAAAAACTCTGTTTTTTGATGATCGTGGGATTCCCCACAGGTGAAAAATGAAAGCTGTTTTTCAACAGGTAAATCTACTTCATTTTACTTAGAACTCAATGCTTATTTCAAATACACTATGTAAAATAATTATTTGGACATTTATATTTTTTCTTTTATGTACATTTTGTTTTGCATCAAAATATTTCGAGTTAAATCTCATTGGATAGAAAAAACTTTTTTCTAGAGAGTGGTATCCTTTAGAAACGAAAAAAAAATATAGATAGAAGCTCGAAAAACTCAAAGTACCTGAAGACCTGTAGGTTTCACAAAGAACCTAATGTTTTTGGTTTTGATGGAATGAAAATTCAACTCAAAATATATCATTCGATAAAGAAAATGAAACTAAATCGAAATCGTTAAAGAAAAGTTTCAAAGAAAACACAATTTACATTATCAAATTCAGCGTAATAGATTTATTAAAAAAAGTTTTACATCTCTTATTATCAGGAAGCAATATTTGAAGTAAGTCTAACTGAATGATTTTCCTATTGAGCAGTAGTATTTTGTGTGGTATTCAATGCTATTGATGATACAAACGTTAGATATTCGCTTTTTTTCCAAAAAGAACATGTCTATAAGATCTATACAAAATTCAATATGTTGTTTTCGAAATTTTGATTAAATCCAATTCATGGTATTTTTTTTTAAAATGCAAATTTATTTTATCTATATTTCAAAAAAGTAAATGATATTAAATCAATGATTAAAAATAGTAAAAGATCAATAAAGAGAAATAAATAAACACAATCTTGATTATTACAGCAAAAAAACAAAACAGATATTTTTAAATCAATAACTATCTTTTTCTCTAGTTAAAGATCTCGATCGAGTTTTAGAAAAGTCTTTCAGTCGTTTGTATTTCCTTATTTGTCACGAAAAATCTGAAAAGCTATCATTTTATGCACCAGAATATTTTTATCTAAATTTGGAAAATGAAATTAGAAGTATAAATCATAAAAAAGTAACGTTGCTCTATTTTCCACTCAATTATATGATTTTTATTTAACCCTTTACCTCCCAGCGGGTCATATATGGCCCATTTGTAGAACGATCACAGAAAATAAAGAAAGCATGGAACTGAAAAGCTTCCAAGACATTATTTGTAGAGAACTTCACAAGCTGTAGATTGGTAAAAAAACTATTTTGTTTCATTGCTCTGCCTTCGAGATGTATGACTTACAAAAACCAATAATTTTGAAAAAAATGCAAAAATTCGAAATTTTAAAAAAAAAATGTTCTCTACTTGCAATCGATAGGGGTCCTTTGAAATTTCTGAGTGATATTAATCGATGAAGAAGTCCACTGCTGAATTAGATGTGTTTCGAAAGCTTCATGATAACTCCGAGAATTATACATACTAAGGAACACAATTGACCATGTAGTCACTGTTAGACAGATGGAGGGTAATCAAGAACAAAGTTAATATATGGGTTACAGACCTCAACTCATGAGAAGTTGAAATAGTATTTATGATGGATTAAATTCCTCCAGACGTTACAAAATGGTTCAGAGTAAAATAGGTTTAAATTTGACAATAGGCATAAAAAAACATACATTCTTTGATGGTAATTTTTATCGGTTCACTCGTTGCGTTTTTCCTATCACTTCAACAGTACGAGATAGATGCTGCTTCTGTCCAGCCAATAATGTGGTCAAAGGAAAAAAAATTAACTCTTACGATGCCGTTCAATTCTCATTTTCCACCACATGATTTTTATATCAATCAAATCGCCCTACTCCAGGAACAGGACATTCGGTGGATTAGGCCGCACCATTGGCATATTCAATAGGCTAATACTCTATTTATAAAGTTATTTTATCAGTGGCTCTTCTGGAAGCGCTATGCAGGATAAAGGGTTAAGAAATTTGAATCTTCTTAAAATCAATTTACACCTAACAAGCTTTTTTAAAAATTACTTTCAAATTAATATTCAATATAAAACAACTTATACTAGAGACGAAACCGGTACCGGTTATCGTCTGATCTGCCAGTAGACTGGTCATTACTGATGTGTCCTTATTTATTTATTTTTGCTCTTATTATCTTATAGAGGATGTGTAATGAAATTTTGTTAAAACTTGACTATGTGACATACCATTATCTACATATGGAATAGTATGACAACTCGTTATTCAACTGTCAGTATAAATTTCAGACTGATCCGTCTACTAGTAGATCGACCGATCTGGCCTAATCAGACTGGTCCTATCTCTGACATATACATCTACACTAAATGACAACATCAGTGGACTAATATACTCTTTTTTTAAAATATATCCTTACGATTAATGTTCCTATAATTATTGAAACTATGAGTTGTTTTCTTTCGAGACATTCGACAATATTCAATGATAACACAAAAGACCTCTCCGTTTATTTTTTTCACATACTCTCTCAACAAATTTTTCTTAAAGATATACAAAAAAAAATAAAGAAAGAGAGTATCTATTATTATAAAATCTATTATTTAGATATGATAATTATTGTTTTTCATTAAAAGATGAGGCTAACAATTCAATTAATCTTCCAACAGCTAATCGTTCTGTATCGGTCAATGATGATGATGAATTTGATTGAAATTCAAATCTTAATGTAACTAAATGATAAATGATACTTAATTTTAATCGAACAATAATATGTGTAAATAATATTGGCCAATTAAGTTCTATACGATTCACTAAGGACTAAAAATAAGATTAAAATTACTTATAATTATGTACAAAATCTTATAAATATACATTGTCAATTTTGAATGTTTGTACTGTTGTATGAAGACTACGTTTTGATACACGAAGATTAATATCAGTAAAAGCACGATCATCATTTGTTGATTTTGTATTTAAATTTTCAGTTGATTGTGCAAATTGATGTTGTTGTTGTTGGATAGATAGTTGTGAGTATGATTGAGATATATTATAATATTCATCTAAAGTTTTAATATTGAGACGTAAACGAATCTTTTCGAAATTTTCACTAAGAACTTCAAATATATTATATACACATTGTGAACCTATGAATCATCAAATAGAAAAAATAAAAATCTATAGATAAGGCAATTTGGTTACAAACTTATTTGTTCGTAATCAAGTTGATCGTGTGGAAAACGAAAAAGTGGAGATCTATCATAAAATTAACTAATATATATATTTATTAATAAAAATTCATCATCTTACTTTCGATCAAGAAGCCGTTCAATGTTATAATGATTGTCCTTCTCGTGACCTATGATGACGAAATATAGAAAGAAAAGCATCAGATAAGAAACTAGAAAGATATTTGGTGTTTTGGGCGTTGTCAAAGCAAATAAAGCTGCTAAAACTGATAACAATCTTGTGTTGATATATTGCGCACATCTTGCTTGTCATTTCTATTGCAAGGTGTTTTAAGTGAAACATGCCCTTATTAAATTCTTTTATCGACTCTATTGTTTGTGTCGGTTTTACTTCAGAACGTGGCCTTAAACTTGATCCAGAATCTAAAGACAATGAATTTAGTTTTACATCTTCTTTACAACCATCTCTATTGTCTATTATTACGGCTGATCGTGCTATGTATCCACAATCACGGGGTAGTGAATTTATCGATCCATGTTATCCCCCAATAGGTCATACAAGTTCACACTCATTGACAATATCATCTACTAGTTCAGGTCGTTCAACAC